CAGGGCTCTGGGGCTGTGCCCTCCTGTGTTCCTTCCTGGGGAGGACAGCCCACCGTCAGACCGCCCTGCCTCCCGCGGCGATGCCTGCTTTGCTCAGAAAGCCCCACAGTGTCTGGGAGGGCTGCAGCTCTCGGCACCTGTGATGAAACCTTGGTGGTGGTGGTCCTAGACACCCCACCCATCCTCTGTCGGGGGGCTCAGGCAGCACAGCGCAGGGCCTCTGGAGGCCCTGATTCCTGGCTGTCCCCCAGGAGTGCAACCACAAGGACCAGTGCCACTGCCACCCGGGCTGGGCCCCGCCCTACTGTGCAGAGCTGCTGTCCGACACGCACGCAGGTAGGCTCGGCCCCCCCACCTGGGTGCCTCCTCACACGTTCTCAAGCCTGACGGGGTCTGGTCAGGGGTCCTGGGCAGGGCTGGGAGGAGGCCGTGTGCCCCTGAACCGTGAGGGGCCTGTGGGAGGTGTGGCCTTGCAGCCTGACCCCACAAGTCCAGGGCGGCCCTCCCCAAGGAGGGAGGCCTGTCCCAGAAGGAGGGCTGAAGGCGGCACGGGCTGCTCCTTGCTGGATCCTTAACCCGCCCTGGGCCCGGGACACTGGCCTCCCAGCCCCACACTGTCCCCCACTGGACACAAGGCCATGCACAGACCTGCGGCCGCCGGGGCCTGGCCCAGCCACGCCCACATCACCAGGGCCGAGGGCCGCCCGCCACCAAGCCCCCGACTGGTCCCCTGAGAGCCCAGAGTGCCGGTGTCATGTACTGGGTCTCAGCACCTCAGACAGGTCTGGGCTGTGGGGGTGTGTGGCCAGGGCTCTGGCTGTCGGCTTCGCCAAGGAGGTGGTCCCCTCCTCGCCACTCCTCAGCTCCGGGCCGGCCTGGCAAGGGCTGAGTTGCCGGCGGGCCCTGCCGGTCCCTGCTGCCTTGAGCCAGGTCCGGCCCTAGTAATGCCTGGCCTTCTGTGCTCCCACAGCCCCTGGGAGCCTCCGAACGCGTGTGCTAGCGGGCGTGGGCGCCCTGGTGGTGCTGGTGCTGATCCTGGTGGGCGTTCTCATCTACTGCAAGGCCCGGAGCCCAGTCCGAAGGAGGTGGGGTAGCTGTGCTCTGGGCTCGCAGGACGTCAGCGTGTGCACGGCCAGTCGCCTGCTGGCGCTGTTGGGGGGAGAGGGGACCCCATGCTGGCAGCCCTGCCCTGGGCCCCTGCCTTCTGCCATGGGAGCAGGTTGGGCTGTGGGGACAGGTTGGTGACGAGGAAGCTCAGAGAAGGCAGCACCGGCCCACCGCCCGGGGGTGACACTGCACTCTTGAGCCTGCTGTATGGGGACCTCGCCTCGTGCTGGCTGCAGTAGGACACACTTGCCAGTGGACTCCAAGTCCCCCTGCCCTGGGCCTGGCCCGACCCCAGAGCTCTCCCTGTGTGGCTGTGGCCCGCACACCCCCTGGGGCGGCTGCAGCTGAGCGATCTGGGGCTGGGCCAGGGTCCCCACGCCCGGGAGCCTCAATTCCCTGGGCTGAATCCTGAGGGATTCACAATAAAATGCACTGACCCATCTTATTTCTCCTAGGAATGTGGCACCCAAGACTGCCATAGGGCTCTCCAACCCCCTGTTCCACGAAGGGCTCAGCAAACCTGCGAAAGGCGGGGCTCAGGCTCCCCCCAGGGGCCCCCTAGAGCCGGCCCCTCCCTCCCAGCCTCCCAAGCCCACAGATTCCTCAGTGATCTCTAAGCGACCACCCCCTGCCGTAAGCGCCAGCCATCCCGACAGACTCCTGGCTACCCCCAAATCTCAGGTCCATGGGGCTTAGAGTGACCACCGTCTGCAGGCGAAACCAAGGCTCTAGGATGAGGGGTCTGAGCACCCACCTGAGCCCGGAGCAGACTCAAACCTGAGGCTCAAAGCCTCTGCAGCGTCCATCCCAGGATGGTTTAGAGGCTCAGAGGCCCGTGCTGCTGCCCAGCACCTCCATGTGAACCCAAGGCTGGGGGAGGGGGTCGTGGCTCAGGCCCCGCCCAGTGTGGAGCAGGATGGGGGACCCCACAGTGCACACACCTGGGGCCTCCTCCCCACTCTGGGAGGGGCCAGAACCTTGGGTCCTCAGCGGGTGGGAAGCAGCTCTGAGCCAGGCCTCTCTGGGGGCGGTTGCCCTGGGAGACCCAGGCTCACACCTGCTCCCTTCAGCCTCCAGCCGCCCTGGCCAGCCCGCCGTCCCCTCTTCCTGTGTACCCCCCGCAGGCCCCGGGCCAGGTGAGCAGGGAGGGGGCACAGGGCGGGCCCCGGGGGAGGAGGGTCTGTGGCTGTACCTGGTGGGCCAGGCGCCCAGTCTCGCAGCGCAGCGAGGACAGGAGCAGCACCCAGCAGGACCTGGGGGTTCTGACCACTCCTCCCCACTCCCAGCAGCTCAGACCTCCTCCTCCCGCCAAGCCCCTTGCGGTGCTGAAGCCAAAGCAGGTGAGAGGGCCGTCGGGGAGGAGCTCAGGGGCGCTGTGGGCTCCACTCCATCCTTCTGAGGCTTCTGCAGTTTGGGAACGATCCCTCCCAGACGCGAGGCACTGGCGCCCCAGCAGGCCCTCTGCCTTGGGGCGCGTGTGGGAGGCCCTTCTGCCCACCGTGAGGTCCGGCTCTGGTGGGTCACCTCCATTGCTGGGAGCACTGCTGAGGGTCCCACACACTCCTGGACATACTCTCACCTCCCCGCAGGCGGGGGCTCCCCCACTCTGACAGACGGTGAGGCCTGGAAGACCAGGCTTTCTCTCCCCTCCTGGGGCACGGCTTCACCCACCAGGCGTCCCATGGGCCCCGTGTCAGCCTGTCCGTCCCCGGTGGTGTGGAGTTATCACTGGTTGCAGTGGTGTCTGTGGGGACTCGAAATCACTGTTAGGGCCCTCTTCCCCTTGTGGTCAAAGCTTGGAGGTGCTTGGAGAGATGCCAGCCTGGTTCCTCCTCAAGCTAACCCATGGGGCCTCTGTGGGTGGATCTCGCCTGGGACAACCGTTACTGCAGTATTTATTCAATGAAGATTCCCTATTTCTCTTCTTTTTTACTTTTTATTTTGAGTTAATTTTAGAGTTATAGTAAAGTTACAAAAAAAAGTCTTTAAATAAAGTTTTAGGAGGGGTTTTGACAGGCCAAGCAGGGACAGGGGTTGGGCAAACATTTCCGGTCCAGGAAGCGGGGGCAGCCAGGGAACTGTGCTGGAGAAGAAAGTGCAGGCCGCCCCAGCCCCACTCAGCAGGGCCCTCTGGATGCTGGGCTGCACCCCACCCTGGCCTGGGCTGAGCAGGACTCCTGCTAGAGACCTTCCTTCCCCACCCCAGCCAAGATTGCCCCTGGAAAGCTGAAATGCAAACAAACGCACATTTTAGTGGCGAATTCTTGGTTTTAGACCTTCCAAAGACCCACATTCTGGCCATTTAAGAACTTTTCCTGGGTAATGTTGGGGTGACGTGGGGAGTTAAGGGGAGAGGGCAGGGTGGTGAGATAATCCGACAGGCCCAGGAATGGGGGTCCTGCCATGTTTGGGTTTCATTCAAGGGTGGTACCAGCCAGGGTGGGGCGGTGTCAAGGGCAATTTTCTGTAGAGAGCGCTCAGCACAGAGAAGCCTGCAGGCCAGTCCGAGGCTGAGCACAGCACCCAGGGAACTTTCTAGAAGTGCTGGGCAGACAGTGCCCAGGCACTGCCAGCCATCAGCTGTGTCTCCATCCTTCCAGGTCATCAAGCCGACCTGCGCTCCCCCGATGCCACCCGTCAAGCCTGGAGTGAGAGGGGCCCAGCCTGGACCCACTCAGGTGAGGCCCTCACTGCCAGAGCAGCGCCCACCGGCTGGGGCAGAGCGAACTCGCTTCCCCAGGGGAGGCCATAACCTCTGCTCTGCACTCTGTCAGAGGACTTTTCAGTGCTTACTGCTTCTTCTGGCTGCTAACATCTTTTTCTGCACTGGTTTAAGTACAGAAGTCTACTGCTTGTGGATAGAGAATAGACTTGATAAAGCATCAGCTGTTAATATCCAGGGCTGTCGCTGCTCTGAGCACAGTCATGTTTTTGATGAAATGAGGATCCAAATTTTAAGAAAAGTAAAAGGAAGTTAGATTCAGTTGTGCGCTTTGTAGCAGATGGTCTTTACTATCATTTTTCTTCCCCAAGGTTGCTCTGAAACCTCCTGTCCAGAGAAGGTGATGGGGCCCAAGCTCAAAGCACCCTGAGGGCTGTGGTCTCGTGACCTCGCCAGCAGCAGCGAGATGCAGCCGCCTGGCCCAGGCCCTCCACCCCCTCGGGCTGAGTCCTCTCTGAACTGTCCTAAGAGAAGAGCCAGCTCCTCAGGGCCAAGACCACGCTTCCGTGTCTCAAGGTCACAGCCTAGCACCTCCGGACCCGGGACTCCCTGGCTGGGCCCAGGACTCCCAGCTGGGCCATCGGCTGCTGTCCTGACCTGGGGAAGGAGGTTGGGGGAGGCCAGCCCCTCCTCAACCGCGTGTCTTCAGACCGCCACTGGTGTCTTATCTGGTACCTGAAAACCTCAGGTGCACATTTAGCAGGGCTCAAAAATTTAATAAAATGTTTATATTTTACGATTAAGTTATTGATCAAGTTTTAAATGACGGGAAGTTTTTACTAGATGAGTGTAAAGTGTTGCATGCGAAACAATGGAATTTAATTTATAAGACCTAAGAGTTCAACGCTTGTTAAAATAGAAGCCTACTGTCAATGTTGTTCAGTCGCTCAGTCGCGTCCGACTCTGCGCCCCCTGGACGGCAGCGCGCCGGGCCTCCCGGCCCTTCACCGTCTCGGGGACCCCCAGCCTCACTGCGTCGGGTCTGACTTTCCCTCCCCACCCCAGGCCTCCAGCTGGCGCCCAGCGTGGCCGCGCCCTCACCTGCGCGCCCCGCCCTTCCGGTCCCGGCCCTGCCGACCCCGCCCGGAATTCCGGGCCCACAGGCGCTTCCGGCGTCGTCTCCCGGCAACCGGCCAACAGCCGGCCGCGCCGCGCCGCGCCGGGCGCTGCCATGCTGAACACAGCCCGGCCGCGCCCCCCGGCCCTGCCGCCGCTGCCGCCCGGCGCCCTCCACGGCCTCTACGCCTGGCTGGACGCGCTGCCGCTAAGCCGCCGCAAGCGCCACCTGGCCCGGGACTTTAGTGACGGCGGTGAGGGGCCGGGGGCCGGGGGGCCTGCCCAGGGGTCCAGGCCGAGAGCCCAGCGCTCGTCCTCCTCGGCCAGAGGGAGCCCCGGGGCCTGATTGGCGGGACGGCCAGGCAAAGGCCGCGGCCCGGGCAAGGTCTCCGCGTCCTGGGCTCCCTGCGAAGCCGTGACGTGAAGGCCCCCGGGGAGGGGCAGGAGGGCCGCTGCCTAGATGGCCCTGGGAGGAGGAGTGGGGCGGCAAGCGGAGTGGGGGCCCAGGAGTTCCTCACGCCCCACCCCCGCCTGCCCGGCGGTCCCCTAGCAGCTCCTCGGAGCCCGCCGGCCCTCACGGTCCTCCCGCCGGGGCGCCCACACCCTGCGGGGACTCCCCGGGACCCCTCTCTATCCTTCTCCGTGTGGAGGCCCTGGGGGACGAATGATGCAAAATTCCGGGGCCCCTCGGCTCACCTGCGCCCCTGCCCGCCCCGCCCCAGTGATGCTGGCGGAGGTCGTGAAGCTCTTTCGCCCCCGGCTAGTGGACCTGCACAACTACGTCCCTACCTGCAACACCGGCCAGAAGCGCAGCAACTGGAACGTTCTCAACAGGCAGGGCTCCAAGCGGGGCTTTCCGCCCTGCCTTCCCTGCTGGGCCCACTCCTCGCTCCCCAAGGCTGGCCTGCATTGGTGGCCTCCACCCCGGGGACAGGTTCTCAGGCTGTGTCCCTGCGTGGGCTTCCCTGATACTCTGTCCAGTTCCACTTGAGGCTCCTGGGGGCTCCCCGCCAAGAGGCCAGCAACAGTCAGCGTGACACACGCTCTGCAGCGCATTATTCTGCCCACTGACCTCGCCTGTCATGCACTCACCCACCAAAAATTCTGGGTGACAGACTGCTCAGGCCCAGCAGACACAGCAGTCAATGGGCCCAGCGAGTCGAGAGGGAAGACGGATAAATGAGGAGATGGGGCCAGTATCAGTTGTGACGAGTCTCGTGAGGACACTGAGGCAGGACCACAGGAAGTGAAAGCGAGCAGCCTGAGGGGGGGACTTGGGTCTTATGCGAGGCTGCAGTGGGGAGCGCATGCCGAGCTGCCCAGGGCCCTTGCAGGACACTGCCCGAGGGGACAGTGTCTTAGCTGGCTTGAGGCCTGGCAGGTTCTGGTGGGACTTACTCGGAGGGGAGAGAGACTGGGGGAGATGGAAGCGGGGTGGGCGGCTGCCCCCACCCCCAAAGCCTGGAGAGAATGGCAGCTGCAGGCAGACGTGTGAGAGGTCAGGCTCTGAGCACTTTGGAGGTGAACGCGCAGGACCCCTGCAGAGAGCAGAGGAGCCTCAGGGAGAGGAGTGCTGCCTCAGGAGGCGGCAGTGAGCCCGGGACTCAGCCGGCCTGAAGACACAACCCGCTGTGTCCCATGACCCGCGGGGGGTGACTGGGAAAGAGATGGCCCCGGGCCTCTGGGTACGGGGGCCGGAAGGCATCCCAGTCCAGCGGCTCTGCACGAGGTGAGTGTCCCCGCTGGGCCTCTGGTCTCAGGGCTGCACCCGCTGCCTCTGCAGGAAAGTCTTCCACAAGCTGGGTCTCAGTGTCTCAGAGGAAGAGATCCGAAAGGTGGTCGTCAACACCCCTGGGGCCATTGAGCCCATCCTGTGTGCAGTGAGGGACAAGGTGGAGGCCGGCGAGGACCTGCCCGGCACGGCTGGACACGTGGGTACCGTCGCGTGGCCATGGCCTCTGCTGTGTTGGGATGCGGGCTTGTTGCCTGCCGATGAGAGTAAAACCAGGAAGTAAGTGGGGACAAAGCCCTGTATCCCCGTGCCCGACCTGCCTGCATCCCTTTTCAGAAGCGCTCAGGTCCAGGCCATGCTGCCTCCTCCAGGGAGCCCGTCCGCCTGCCCGTCTGTGACAGGGAGACGCCTGCAGGCCTGCGGACAAGGATTGGGTCAGCCCCTCCTGGGAGTCTCAGGGCCCAACGCTGGAGCCCCTTGCAGGAAGCAGGACGCTCCAGTGGTGACCCTGGTGGGTGGGGCTCACCTCCCCTGCACAGGCTGGGGGTGTCCAGACCGCCCCCCCACCCCCACCCCGTGTGGGGCCCTGCGCCCAGCAGGCCGCCCTGTCCCCCACCGGGGCGACACCCAGCGGGCGAGGCGCGCCTCGCTCAGGGAGCCCCGCTTCTGTCACCCCCGCAAGGGGCCCTGCCCACAGGCCACGTGAAATGGCCGTCGTTCAGGTTCAGGGGTGGCTTCTCCGAATGAGGAAGCCGTTCGGAGGTGTGGCGGGCTGCTCCTGCAGACCAGCTCAGGCCCGGCCCGGCCGCCCGCACTGAAGGCCGGAGCTGACGCCTCCCATGGTCTCACAGGCCTGCGGAGCCCCTTGGCACGCTCTGGGGTGGAGACCCACTGGAGTCAGAGAGCTCCGGAGAAGATGGGCCACTATGCATGCAGAGGGTGGGCTCCGGATCGAACTCTCTGCAACCCCCCCACTGGCCTGCCCACCCGGGCGCTAAAGGCCGGTGTCTACCTTTCAGTTGCCCAGCCGGGGAGCCCTGGCACCACCTGGACCCTGGGCTGCCGCAGCGGCTGCTGGAAGAAAAGGAGCAGGCGCTGGCAGTCCTGCAGGAGACCGTCAAGGTACAGGCCTGGCCGTCCCTCCAAGCAGCTTGGACCAGCATGTGGCGAGGCGGGGGGCGGCCAGGCAGGGCCCCTGACTGGGGGAGCCCGCGAGCACATCCCAGAGATACCCAGAAGCAGAGGGAGAGTACAGTGGGCCTCCACCCCTCGGAGACTGACCATCCAGCCTTGCCTGTCATCAGACACCAGAGACCACGAGTCAGGGGCTGCAGACTCACAGGCCTTGGTACCCGGACATATTGGACGGCAGGCTTGAGGGCCCTGGGGCCCAGTCAGGGAGCAGAAGGCAGCTCCCTAAGGCACAAGCCTAGTTCTGGGGGTGTATGCCTGTTCCCCCTCTCGCTGAGGGTCTCCAGCACTCCCGGGTTCAGGAGCTGCTCGGGTCCTGTCACTGCTGTGTAGCAACCACCACATGCTCCGTTGGGCGTCCAGGCTGCATTTTTGGACCCGAGACAGTGGGGGTGGGGTGTGCAGGCCACACGGCCTCGGGGTCAGAGGAGCTGTAGAAATGGTGATGACAAAGCGGTTCCTGCTGGCTCTGCGAATCTTGACGCAGTTTTCTTGAGGAAGCAGGAAAGTGGCGTCATCCTGTGGTTTGCATCTGCTGGGCGGCAGGGAGGAAGCCCTGTCTCAGCAAGGCCTGTCGCGGCCTTCACGCCCTGCCCATCTGGGCCCTGTGCTGACACGGAGCCACGGCCACTGTGGGCCGCAGAGCAACACCATTTGAACCGCACGGTGTTTTCCACTAGGTGGACACCACAGTGCTGCCGTCTGTGCTGCAGACGGATGGCCACACCGTCTGGTTCTGACTTGGGGGAGGGGTTGGTGGCCCCCCACACCACCACATTGATCAAGGACCAACTTCATTTGATTTTTGAAACCCAGAGGGCAAGACAGCTCACCTGCTGTTTGGTGGTGACACAGTTGAGTTCTGTTCCCGTGACTGTCACTGACGTCAGATAAAACATGCGGGGGTGGAGGGGCAGCATCCCGGAGCTGACCCGGGGCGGGTGTCGGGGTCCAAGCCTGCAGCGTCAGCTGAAACAAGGCAGCACAAGGCAGCGCCCAGCCTCGGGATGCCCCTGCCCTTCACGCTCACTGCCAAGGAGCAGTGCGGCCAGGCCGGTGGTGTGCTGGTGCTCAGGGCCCTCGGAAGGTCTGTCTGAGATGCCAGCTCCCTGCCTCAGCCAGCGGGAGCCGTCTGTCCTCTGGACACGCTTTCAGGGGCAGACGAACTTCCAGATCTATTCACTCTTACTGCTGGGGCGTGGTGGGCACTCTCCTTCCAGGAGGGGAGTTTGCTTGGGGGACTTTGGCCTTGCTTGGGGGAGGCTTGGGGGCAGCGGCTGTACTTGAGGACAGCTGAGCAGGAGCGCCAGGCGGGTGGTCCTGACCATCTGTCTGCACGGGGACATGTTCTCGGCCGTTTCCCTTCAGAAGTGACCCCGGCACGTGAGGCTGTCTCCTTGGCAGGCTTGCTCCGAGGACCTGCCCAGCCCGGCTGAGCCGCTGGGCAGGGCTGCAGAGGGAACCAGCCAGGAGGCTTCGTGGGTCTAGGGCAGCCCCTCCCTCTCCTGGCCTGCCCTCCATCACCTGGGGTCTCAGACTCATTTCAGGGACCCATGTTGTTTCTACCCAGAGTGGCCTGTTGAGGACCTCTGGTCTGATCGCTGATGGTGTGGCCCTTGCAGGGGGGCTGGCTGGACACAGCCTGGGGCTGAAGCTGCCCGCCACAGGAGCGTGGACAGGCGTCCCTCGGGTGTGTGTTCCTGCAGGTTCTGCAGATGAAGGTGGCCAGGCTGGAGCACCTGGTGAAACTGAAGGATCAGCAGATCGGAGCGCTCATGCGACAGGGGGACCAGCCCCGGGGAGGGGGTACTCCGGGGCCTGAAGGGCCCCCTCCCCTGTCCATCAGACTCCAACCCCGGGCCCACATGGAAATCCCCTAGACTGGGTGTTTCTGAGTGTGGCCACGCACTGTCCATCAGACTCGGAGCGCCGAGGAGGGCCCGAGCCAGCGTGTCCACAAGCAGAGGCCTGGCCCCTCCTGACTGCACATCTCGGGTGCCCAGCCAATGTGGCCTGAGGTTCCCCTGCTGCCCCCCATCCCCCTGCCACCTCCCCCCACCAAGACCAGTTTGGATATGAAGACGGGCCTGGTTCCCTGGAGCCCCGGAGCTGTCCCGGCGTTACTGTGAACGTGGAGTATCTGTGGGCAGTTGTGTGCTGGGGGGTCAGGGGTGGGGGCAGCGTCTCGAGTCAGCCAACCTGCTGTCCTGGGGGCCCCGCGGAAACGGCTCGGTGGGAGGTTGTGTTTCCTGAAGGGCACCTGTGGGGACCTCACAGTGGTCATCCAACATGGCCAGTCACCCCTCCTTGCTCCAGAGGCTTTGGGGGTCAGCAGAGCCAGGACCCGCGGGACGGGCTCCCCCCAGTGCATGTGGGGCCCTGGCCCTGGGTGGGGGCATCGGGGTGGGGGCCAGGGTGCCCTGAGATGCTGAGGTTGGGGGGCAGGGGGCCTATCTGTCCTGTGTCCTGGCATTCTTGCCTTCCTGCTCCTGCAGCATCCAGGGTGCTGCCCCCCCCAACTGACTCACTGCCCCCTTCCCGATACACGCACACGCCCCGGGCCCCTGCAGGGTTTCAGGAAGCAGCGTCAGAGCAGAAACCTCCGTCGGTTTTGGAGTTGTTCTGAGTCAGCCCACGTCCTCCCTGAGTCAGACATGTGGCCCTGGCCCCATAGCACGGGTCCAGCCCCCAGGCTTGGAGGGACCCGGGGTTTGAGGCAGAGGGTCTGCTTCCCCAGGAGGGGCTGTGGAGGCTGGGTCGGGGAGGGGGGCGTTGCCTAGGAGGGGCCAACTTTCAATTTCTCCTGGGCACACCCTCACCCCTGGAGAGGAGCCCCAGGATGTGTGTCTGGGGGCGGGTCTGGGCTGCCCGCTGTGGGATCCAAGCTGCAAGCAGCCCCCACCGCTCCAGCGTCAGGGTGGGCAGAGGCTGCCGGCCCCTGGGCCTCGCCAGTCTCCTCCGGAAACGCCAAGGAGGTGCCCGCGAGGCCACGCCCTCACCACCCCGGAGCGCCCCAGGCTGGTCCCAGCACGCCCCGTGTGGCCAGGGCTGGAATCACGCCCTGCTGACCCTCCTTAAAAAGGCAAGAGGCTGTGATGAGGGCCTGGGGCCCTGCTGACCTTCCTGCCTGCAGAGGGTTTTATGCTAATTCCCGTGTCAGCCAGGGACCCTTGTGAGCGCACGTGAGCGGCGTGGACTGTGCCACGGGGCCCCAGTGTAGACAGAGACGCCAGTGGCCGCCCCCGTGGCCCCCAGGGCGCCCTCCCCACCTTGGCTCGTCTGTTTCCGTGGTTTCTGAAGCGTCTGATCCAGCCTTCCTTCCCAGATGGGTTTCGAGTGCGCGCCACCGACGCTGGGGCGATGCTGACCACGGTGGCGGCGAGCTGGACGTGCTGCCGTAGATGCGCCTCGGGGTGGGGGCGGGGGCCCTGCGGCCGCAAAGCTCCCGAGGCTTCAGTTACGCTGGAAGGTCCTCCCGAGGGGGCAGGCTGGGCCGGGGCCGCGACCTGCCCGGAAGGGGGGGCCTGGGGCCAGGGACGGGGCGAGCCCAGAAACAGAGCTGGGAGGGGGCGTGAGAACAGGCGGACGTGTGGGAGTCCGGGCCTTGGGAGCCCAGCAAGGGTGACTTTTGAGCAAAGGCGTGAAGACAGCAGGGGCTGCAGCTCAGATGCGGCGCACGGGGCGTCAGGGGTGAGGCTGAGGCTGCAAAGACCCCGGCTACCGCGCCTGGGAGGCGGGCCCGACCTCGTGGGCGTTGCTGTTGCCGCACGGCTAGGGCCCACTCAGAAGGCAGGGGCACGGGTACTTGACCACAATGCCACAGAGCCGTCCTGGAGGGTGGGGTGGACGTGAACTCCGGGCTTCCTGCTCCCTGGCATCATGCTGAGAGCGAGCCAGGCTGCGTTTCTGCGCCAGAAGGGGCAGCAGCTGGTCTGGTGGTGTGGACGTATTAAGTGTTCTCTGACACATGAGAAACACCTTTCGGGGGAAAAGCACCCTGGCTGCACAAAGTGTGTGAAAAGTGAACTGGTGACAGCTTCCATGAGACCATCGCAGTATTGTAATTACTCTTCAAATAAAAAGCATATTAAAAAACTGACCTATCGTGTCTGACTCTGAGACCCCAGGGACTGCAGCACGCCAGGCCTCCCTGTCCATCGCCAACTCCCGGAGCTTGCTCAAACTCGTGTCCATCGAGCTGGTGATGCCACCCAACCATCTCATCCTCTGTCATCCCCTTCTCCTCCTGCCCTGAATATTTCCCAGCATCAGGGTCTTTTCCAACAAGTCCATAAACCTTCTTCTTACCAGTCTTAAGACACTGTCACTGCTAACTTTCTCTCAAATCTGTCTTATCCTGGAAGTAAGTGACATCCATCCCTGCTTATGTAAGAGAGTGGAAAAATCCCCACCCAGTTTATTCAGGGGAAAATGCCAAGGACAGTGAGCGTGTCCATTATCCTAACGGTATTTTATCGAAACTCTAATATGTGTGTGTAGGCACACTCACATCGAGGGATGATGGATGGTCAGTGCCCGTTATTAAAACAGCCCAGAGGGAAAACTGAACGCTTGCTGATGTTGGGGACTAGAAAGAAGCCCGCATGCCTCAACTAAGACTCTGATGTGACCATACACGTGTTTACTCGCTCAGTCGTGTCTGACTCTTTGCGACCCCATAGACTGGAGCCCACCAGGCTCCTCTGTCCATGGGATTCTCCAGGCAAGAATACTGGAGTGGGTTGCCATGCCCTCCCCCAGGGGAACTTCCCCACCCCAAGGATCAAACCCAGGTCTCCGGCGCTGCAGGCAGATTCTTTACCATCTGAACCACCAGGGAAGCCTGACCATAGATAAAAGAAAAAATAAATATGTTTTTTTAATTTAGCATGCCAAGGAATACGAGTAAAAGCCTTACTAATGCTTTCTGGTAACAAATGTCCCGCAGTTGAGCCATTTTGCTCAAAATTTAGCTTCCCCTACACTGTGCAAAACCATGACAACAGTCTCCACAAAATTTGGACACTCAGAGAAAGAGAATTTGATTTTTCAGATACTTGGATGATTCAAATGAGTCGTCGCTCTTTCCTTTCAGGACGCCAGATGCTCAGAGAGGCCAGCTTAATTACCTTAGCCAAACAAATGTATCCCTCAAGACAAGTAAAAAGTTGCCATATTTCACCATAATTTGGAGGTGTAGGATGGTACATATATGCTTATCAGCCAGGCTTCTTGCCTTTTCTCCCTGGGAATCCACATTTGCAATATGTTATTCGCAAGGAGATCTCCATAGATCAAGTACTTATTGTTGTTTCACAGACAAACAAGATTTGTCAAGGGAAAAAATGGGGTAACTAGAGGAACCTGCAGCAGTGATTACAGAGAAATATTTCGTAATAAAGAGCATTCTTTGTGGGAAAAAAAAAATAAAAAACTGACCTAGAGCTTCACCCAGAAGGTAAAGTTTGTTTAGCTCAAAAAGTGAAAGTGTTAGTCACTCAGTGGTACTTTTTTTTTTTTTTCCGGTGGTACTCTTTGCAACCTGTAGTCCGCCAGGCTCTTCTGTCCATGGAATTCTCCAAGTGAGGATACTGGAGTGGGTTGCCATTCCCTTCTCCAGGGATCTTCCGGATCCAGGGATCAAACCCGAGTCACCTGCATTGCAGGCAGATTCTTTACTGTCCGCACCACCAGGGAAGTCCTGTTTAGCTCAAAGTTTTGATTAAATTCAGGCAGTAAATGAGTGCAGGTTGCAATTGACAGAGAGTAGAAATGAAAACCCAGAGAAAAGACAGGAAAGAACAGCAACTGGCTGCTATCCCGAGGCAGCTTGGGCCCTCCGTGCCCCCCGGGGCAGCTCCAACCCTCCAGGGGCCCACCACTGCCGCCGGGTGGGGCTGCCCTGGACGGGACCTGCTCACTTGCAGAAGGTGGTGAAAGGATGCCTGGAGGACAGGCTGGCAGAAGCCCATCGGTTCACAGCGATGGCTCTTGGGTGGGAGAACGGTTACTTCCGTGTTGCTGACAGTTCCATCAGAGCAATGTGTTCTACAATCAGGAAAAAGAAGGATGCTTCTGGCAAGCTCACCTGAGACACGGTCCTTCTGGGCCATGCATACACTGGACATCTGTCCTGTCCCCTCACAGACCCTGAAAAGGACACGTTGTTCAAATAGAGAGACCCCCCCCCCACTCAGAGAACCAGCCAACATGGCAGCTGAAGGCACGATCCACTTCTCGCCTTTCAGCAAAAGCAGAGCCGCTGTCCAGTGGGGTGCTGTGAGGACTCTGGGGGCCCGAGCACCCCTGGCCTCGCCCCAGGGGAGGTGAGAGGACCCCAGGCACAGCCCCCTCTGCCCCACCGCATGTTCTGTGGGTCTTAGTCCCCCAGTGTAACAGGCCACATGGGGTGAAGTGCCCCCGACTCCACCCTCAAGTCAGCTGAGTGGCCGTCCAGGCAGAAGGCAGACGCAGAGACCAAGACGGTGGGCGGGGGCGTGTCTGGACACCCCCCACAGCGGCAGTCACCTGGACTGACGGCCCCCAGCCCCCCAGCCCGGGGGCACTGTGCTGCCCACCCAGCCCCCCCGCACTCAGCCACACCAGGCAGCTGGCTGGTCGGTGCTGAGCCTTCTCTGGGCTCCCACCAGGCCGGGCCCCAGGAAAGACCAAGCGTTCCTCACTGGCCCCTTGGACCCCCTTCACCACTGCAAGGTCACAGGTCCTTACACACGTGCACACGTGCTCACACTCAGCCCCCAGGGCTCCCCCCTTCTGTTCGCACTGCCTGTGGGCCCTTGCTCTGACCCCCAGGCTGAGCGTTCAGGGCTCAGCAGGCCTTCTCTGCGATCCGAGGCTCCCTGCAGCAGGAGGTCTCAGGACTCCTGCCGCGTTCCCAGGCCCCAGCTTGGTCCGGGGCAAGGAGTGAAGGGGCATTGAGGACTCCCAGGGGGATAGCGCCCCCACCCCATGCCCCCACCCGACCAGCCAGGTCATGGGCTTCTCTGTCCACCAGGACATGGGGAGGGTTCCTTGGGAAACACCTGGGGCCAGGAGGATGTTGGCTGGGGCTTCACAGGTTCTTGTCCTTGGGAAGCTCAGCTCACCTGCTGCTCTGGGCCTGCTTCCTCCTCCCATGGGGGTGAGCACTGCTGATGGAGGCGGCCGGGGCCAGTCTCAGGCTCTGTGCCCACTCGCGGCGTCCCCAGCACCTAACTGACCCCCGAGCTTCTACAAAAGGGCCTTTGGTGTTTGTGGGGACCCTGAGGGGCCTCGGTTCAGGGACACTGAACTGGCTTCAGGGGGAGCATCTGCCTGTGGATTAGTCGGCCGAGGACCCAGGAGACCCCAGGGGCCGTGGAGGCTGGGGGGCCCTGGAAGACTCAGGGCCGTAGAGGCAGTAGCTGCTAAGGGGGGTGGCCTGAAGGTGACAGGTCCTTCCCCAGACCTGGGGGCCAAGGCCCTCAGTGAGAAAGAGACCCGGGCTTCTGGGTTAGGGACAACAGCGATTGCCGGGGCCAGCCCTATGTGCACAGGCGTGTGGCATGTGTGCACACTTGTGTGAAGCCCAGTGGTCCAGGCGCTCAGAGGGGGCTCCCCGTGGCCGGGGTGGGGGCTGCCGGGTCAGTCGTGCAGACAAAGGGGCCACATTCTTCTTCTGGCTGGAGGATCTGGGAAGGCCAAGATGTCCTGGGAGGCCGCCCGTGCCGTGGCCTTGAGAGTGGAGGGAAGTTCCCATGGCCAGGCTAGAGTTCTGATCCACCCGGGAGGGAGAGGATTATCTCCCAGTAAGGGAGTCACACAGACTCAGCCTTGAAACCCCCGCCGCAGAGGCAGGGGGGCTCCGGGCCCAGCCTTAACCCCTTGTCTCCCTGCCTTAGAGCCTTCAGGCCCGGCCCGGCTGACACGCAGGTCCTGCCCAGGGACCCAGCACCCACAGGTGCTGCCCATGGGCACCCTGGGCCACGGGGGCCGCTCACCGTGCTCACACTGCCCACAGCCTGGGCCAGGCTCTCAGCCGTCACCCCCAGCCCAGGAGGTCCCGGGAGCCGCCGGGGGCTCAGCCCAGACGGTTCCCCGTCAGCGCTCCAGGCCCCTGTCCTCTGCACCGATAGGTGTGGGGACACTGTTTTAGCAACAAACCGCGGACAGCCAGGCGAAGGCCGGGTTCAGACCAACCGCACAGCGTCCACTGCGGCCGCATGCCCCTGGCTCGTGTATGTTCTTCCCTGTGGACCTCGGGCCACGGGCCTCCCACCCCCTGCTTTTCGAGGGCCCTCGGGGATCTCCAGTCTGTCTGGGGCAGCTCCCCTCCGGCGGACAGACCTCGCGGGCAGACACCCTTCGACCTGCTGCCCCCGAGGGCTTGGCCAAGTTCAGTGTCTCCCTGATGGCGGAAGCTGAACTGGGGGGTGGGGGGCACCACCCGCTCATGGGACAGGCCCCTGACCTGGCCTCGGGGTGACGAGTGCCCGCAGTTCATAAGCCAGGGAACCGCGGGTCGGGGTGCAGGGCCGGCTGGGAGAGGGCGAGGCTGCGCTGTCTGGGAACCCGCCAGGGGTTAACGCAGCCACCTCTGGGGCTGGGAGCTGCCGAGATGGGCAGACAGCTGCGGGGACAGCCCCCCACCGGGAGTGGACGCAGGGAGGGAGTGAGCGGCCCCGAAGGATGCCCCTTATCGCGGGCCCGCTGTGTGCCAAGCGCGTCCTTCAGGGCCAGCAGAGATACTTTCTGTCCTGCGGGCAAAGGGGGAGCCCAGCCCAGCACATTCCGCATTCCGGGGGCCACTCGCGGGGGCCCTGCCAACAGCGACAGGGCCCAGGACCCCGCACGGGCCTGTGTGGACGCCACAGAGTCGGCGAGCGTGCAGTGTCCCTCCTTGGGTGCCTGCTGGCGGCCACAGGACTGCGGGGCAGGACTCTGCCTGAGCTGAGCCCGGGTCCCCGGCCAGCCTCCCTGGAAGCCAGCCGCTGTGCCTGCCCCTGGGGACCATCCTCACCACCTGGGGAGGGGGCTGGAGGCGGCTCCCATTAGTCTGATGGTGCCGGGATGGTGGAAGCACGGTCCACAGCCAGAGTGCAGGGAGGGGCCGAGGTCCCCGCCCTGAGCTTGGGGCCCACTCCAATTGCCGAGGGGCCGCGCAGCGCCTGGCAACAGGGTGGTGCTCGAGTGCACCCATCAGGCAGGGAGCCGCCCTAGCGTTCCCTGGCTGGGCCTTCCTGCCTGTGGCCACTCTGGGTGGAAGCTGGCCCTGCGTCCATCCCTTCGTCCACAGAGTCCACAGAGAGAAGAGAGCCTTCCAGGGGCTGAGATTCCAGGGGCTGTGGTGTCCGAGGGCCACAGCCAGATAGGCTGGCTGGGACTAAGCTCCTTGTGGGAGGCCCAGCCTGCAGCCACCGCCTCCCTCTGACTAGCTCTACCCGGCAACCCGAGGGAGGCTTCCACACACAGACTCTACCGGATCAGCACCTGGTTCTTAGGGGCCTTGGGGGAAAACCAGTCGGTGGGCCTGGCCCCCTGCTCCCTGCTGGCTGCCTACCAGGCTCCCCAGGCTCCAGCTGGTAGGGGGCCAGCTACCCCGGCGTCCAAGCAGGGCCAGCGGGGTCCACACACCTGAGGCCTAGAGCCGCTGCCCCCACCCCGTCTCCTCGCCGAGCCTCTCTGGTTCCTCGTGTGGTTTATAATCAGCAGGCACTGATGTTACAATCAGGTCAGCAGGATGACCAGGAGGGCCTTGGAGGGCTCTGGAGCCCAGGCCTCGCACCCTGGCCTCCCTGCCTGTCCACCTGCCTCCTACCGCCTCCCTCCTGCAGGCCTGCCGCCCGCCTGAGGAGCGAAGATCAGGGGCAGGAATGTCTCCCCAAAAGCCGAAGGAGGCAGCTGCGAAGGGGAGGGTTGAAGGCGGTGGGGGCTCAGGATGGGGAGGCCCCAGGGATGGGGGGACCCTGACTGGTTCTGGAGAATGAGGGACCCAAGGAGATGGCCCCAGGGCCGCTGCTCGAGTTGGGGCTTCACCCCTCTGCCTGGCACTCAGCAGGGGGCCCCCTCGAGCCTCTGAGCTCCCAGGAAGGGGCGTCTCCTCTTCCACCGAAGGTCTCCCCTCCCCAGCAGAGTCGGGGGTCTGACACCCCCTCTGTGGCCCCCTCTAGCCCAGAGACTGGCCCGTTCCAACTGCCCAGGAGACCCCTGAGCAACTGACCGCCCACTGGGGTCGGCAGGCCCCTCACCTGGCTGCAAGGCCCCCCAGAGGCCCTGGGGTTGTGGACAGGCTCCTGGCGGGGGGCACTGGCCCCCTGTATCCAGCCCAGCGTCTGCAGATTCTCAGCTACACCCCCGGCCCCGAGGGGTCCAGGCCTCAGTGGGGTGTCAGCAAGGTCTGAGCCAGGATGGCAGAGGCCCTGGCACGTTCACGGGGGGTGCTCACTCTCACCTGGCCTCCCTCGCATGGCCACCTGTGCCCTCGGCTCGCCTTGGCATCCTGGAGCCCAGCCCTCAGCCCCCAGGCCCACTGGTTGGGTGAGTGTGAGGGACTGCTGCACACAGACACCAGGCACTCACACACACACACACACACACACGCACACACACACACAACACACACACAGACACACACACAGACACCAGGCACTCACACACACACACACACACACGCACATACACACACACGCACAACACACACGCACACAAAACACACACAGACGCCAGGCACTCACACACACACACAGACACACACAACACACACAGACACCAGGCACTCACACACACACACACACACACGCACACACAACACACACAGACGCCAGGCACTCACACACACACACACACACATAGACACAGACACAGACACCAGGCACTCACACACACACACACACACACACACACACACACCAGAGCCACCTCAGAGCAAAGCAAGGTGGGGCTGGGGGCGTTTCTGGACCTCTGGGCAGGGAGGGGGCCATCCTGGGTGCAGGAGGCGCAGGCCACCCCAGGGCCGAGGGGGCAGAGGGCGTGAGGGCTACACAGCAGGACCCTGGGACTCAGGATGGGGTGGGGGTGGGGGGGCGTGTGGGGACACCTGATGGCCTGTCCGCTTCAGACTCAGATCACCCCTCTGTCATCCCCCATGGGGGGAGCGTCTGTGAACAGGGCGGTGGACATCCGTCCACGTAGATCAGCTATCCACCTGCTAGATGATACCGACATGCAGCCCCGTCCAGGGGCAGGAAGCTGAGCCCTCCTGGGGCCCTGGGCCTGGGGGCGGAGAGTGCATTGTGTGCAGGCGGCCTGGGGTCTTTGGTCGGCCCCCCTGGGTGCCGACTCCCTCACCTGTCCCTCTGTGTCCCCCCAAGACCCCTGGTGTCCTGAGCACGGGGCGGCCTGCAGGTCCTCTGGGCTCCCGGGGGGCGGGTCTGGGGCTCAGCGCCCAGGCAGGAGGGGAGATGCTGCTTCTGAAGGCTGCCCCCGCGCACGTGTTCCGGGCCGTGACGCAGGCCGCTCACAGGGAGATAAGGCCCGGAGGAGGCTTGGGCCAGCGCTGGCCCTGTCCCAGGCCTGCCGGGGTCCTGCCCGCTGGGGCCGGGCACTCTGCTCAGAGCAGGTCTTTGTGCCCCAACCTCCCAGGTGCGGGGGCGGCCGGGGTCCTTGGCACAGCGTGCCTGTGACCGCACGTGACGGCCGCTGCCCGGGCCGCCCCACCAAGGTCTCCGCCTGGCATAAAAGGGCACCGGGCGGCTGCAGTCGCAGAGCCGCGGTCCTCACAGAGCTCTCCACCATGCTGCCCTGCTCGCCTGCCGCCGGGACCCCAGACCGAGCCCGACCGTGACCAGGTAAGGCATGCGGTCCTCCCGGTCTCTCCCACAGCCCGCTGACTGCCCAGCTTGCTCACAACTGGACCCCTGCAGCCACGACCACAGCTCCTTCAGACTGACCCGAGCCGGCACGGACCCCGGACCTGCAGCCATGCCACTCGCTGTTCCTTTTTCCTATGCATATACTTCTTTGAGGGTCTGGCCTAAAGAGGTGTAGAGCATGGGAAAATGGGGCCCCGAGGTTCCCCTGCGCCAGAGCCTGCTCCCCGCCGGGCACCCGCCTCGAGACCTGCCTCCACATCCCGCACGCCAGGGCAGGGCTCCTGACCTCCGCTTTGGGGTGGGAGGGTCACGGGCTGTGGGACAGGATGGGGAGACCTTCACTTCCATGGGTGCCTAGAGCTGTGGGTGTGGTCCAGGCCCCGTTCCTGGTCTGCACCCAGGAGCATAGTGGGGGTGCGGCCCTGGGGATGGAAGATGCGGGAACAGGAGTGGGACGGCCCGCCTGGAACCACGCTGGGCCTGACACACCCAGCGGTGGGATGTGTCAGCCGGGGTGGCCATGGGGCTGCTTCTCCACGCTCATCGTGCTGTGATAATGAGTGTAATGCAAATAAAGGTAACTTCATGTAGAGTTCAGTGTGGAGAGTGTTGATGTGGTGCATTTAAAGCAAAGTTCCCTCGTCGTGTGGTTTTTTCCCTCATGCAAGCTGGTGGGGGTGGGGGGCACATCAGTAAGAGTGGTCTTGGGGGAACTTAATAAAAATAAAACTTAATAAAAAAAAAACCACAAGGGAGTGAGAGGACTCCTAGACATGTCAGCTGGGAGGGCGGTGGGTGGGGAGCTTTCTGATGACCTTTCTGATAACCAGGGTCACGGGAACAGGGCACTCCCAAACGGTGGGGCGGGCGGGCCAGAACGCCCAAGGCTGCAGTGAAGACAGTCCACCCCCAGCACTGCCCGGGGCACCTGCCGGGTGGTGGGAGCTCCCTGGTGAGGGCGACTGGAAAAGGGGCAGAGGGGGTCCAACGACTATCGGGCTTATTAGCTAATTGGCCCAGCAAACACAGCTCACAGACGCCCTTTATCAGCTGTCGTCCCAGACTTAGCTGTAGGATGATCCTGTGGGGGGTGGGAGAAGGGGGCGGGCTGCAGCTCCTGGAGGCCCCAGGCTCAGGCAGACATCCACCCCCAGCGCGTGCTCCCTTTTGTCCATCCTCACCAGGGGACTGGGGTGGGCTTAGCTCCCCTGGGACCCTTGAGTGTTGAAGGCAAGCAGGTATGACACCCTCAGTGCATGAGTAACAGGGGCATTGAGCCAGACACCTGTGTTTTCTGTGATGGGGAGAGAGATGGGCTGCAGGCAGGGCTGGATCCAGGCCGTCAGTGGCTGTGCCTTGTACTCCATCATAATCCTCCCATCAGAGCTGCAGGGAACGGTTCCTGGGCACAGGGAGGGAAACCCCGCAGACTCACCACGGCCGGCCAGGCATACCCTCCCTCTGCGTTTTGGAATTGTCCCAGCTGCAGGGGACGCATCCCTCGTGGGCAGCTCCCCGGGCAAGGACACAGGCCTGGGAGTGTCCACCAGGAGGCGGAGAAGAGCAGGCCGGTGTGTCCTGTATCAGCTGAGCCCAGCAGAGGAGCACTGACAGGCAGCAGGGCCAGGCCTGGGCTGGGAGGCCTTCGGGAAAGCCAGGTGACGCCAGACAGGCTGTCAGTCCTGCGGGGCCTTGTCCTGTAAAAGGTGGGGTGGGGGAATGACCCTGCCCCGTAAACCTCAGCGTGGCTTCCTGGGGAGGTTTCCCTCCACCTGCCGCCTGGCCACTTGCAGTCACCACCAAGGCTGGGAACGAGGGTCTCACCGGCCTGGGGAGGCGGTGACACGCAGCCCTCCATCTGCAGAGGCCATGCGGCCCTGGGGTCCTGACCCCTGGAAAACGATGGTCGGGGACGGCAGGTCCTCTGCCACCAGGTGTCACTGAAACTGGAAGACGGAGAATCTGTGTTATGGCCTGTCCACCTCCGCAGGGCAGGGCTGGGCCGGGCGCCCACCCCCAGGGTCACAGCCTGGGATGAGAACGGGAAGGAGACTGGGAACGGGGCTGGCAGGGGGTGGGTAGGGTGAGCACTTGAACTTGGTGCCGTGGGAACCCTGCACAACGGCTGCGCCCGTGGGACTTCCTTCCAGCAGCCTGCTGCCCCTCCCCTGCCCCATGGGCACTGTCCTGCAGCAAGGACAGAGAACTGTGGGGCCGGCGAGGGCGGGGGCAGGCATGGGTCCTGGCTCCCAACACTTTCCCTGCGAGGGGGGAGCAGGGCCAGAGGATGCAGCCCCCGGAGGCCCCACCCCCACCGCAGCAGGGCAGGCACCTCTGGGCCTCAGCTCTGCGGTCACTGTTAAGATTGATTCAAACCCAGGATGACAAACACCTTCACTTCCTCCTAATCCTGTTGGTTTTCACGTTCGTGCATTAAGCTCGGAGCACCCAGGACAAGAATCTGCCTTTATCTACTCAGACTGGAAGGCCAGGTTCCAGCACCTTTTGTGGAATAAGCTGTCCCTGATTGTGAGGGCCCAGCACAGCCCTGTCCTCCTTGGCCTTTGGTGGCTCGCTGACCGTCCCCTCCTACACAACCCTTTGGCTGCTTTCAAGGAGGAAGCAGCTCTAAAACATCCTCGACTATAAACTGTCCACAGTCCAGAGGCCAAGAAGGCCCAGTCCCAGCAGCAAGAGGAGTGGGGGCTGCAAGCCCGCCAGGCACCGCGGTCTCTGCAGGTAGACACCAGGCATAGCCCCGCACACCCCAGGTGTCTGGCCGGCCTCAGCTGCGGGCGTCCGGGCGCCCACAGTCCTTTAGAAGGCGACCCCATCTCTGGAGGGGCCTACAGGCCCCGGGCGCCCCAGGACAAGGCCAGCTTGGCGGGCACCCCCCCGTCCCGGCGTCTGCGAGACAACAAGCTGGGGGCTACCCGCTGCACGAGGCCCACGCCAAAGCCGAGGGCTGGTTCCGCTCGGAAGGAAGAATCCCGGAGGCTGAGCCAGGGCAGGGGGCTCAGACAGAGGCCCGGGGGCGCAGCGGCAGCGGCGCGGGGCGCGGGGCGCGGGGCGCGCGCTAAACCGGGAGTCCTGCAGGGGGCGCAGCTGTTTCACACGGCGACAGGGGACCAGGTTACGGCCGCCCCGCCCCGCCCACGGACGTCGCCCCGCCCCCCTCGCGCCAGCAGCCCCGCCCATGGATGCCGCCCCTCCCCTTCCCCAGAGGCCGGCCCCGCCCCTTCCCGCGAGGAACAGGTTTGGAGCCGGAGAGGACGGCCGCCCCGCCCCCTTCATCCGGTCCCGCCCTCTCTCCCGCCGGCCCGGGCGGAGAAGCGCTCCGGGGCGCCCCCTCAGCCTCCCGGTCTGGCTCCGCGGGAGGACGGGGGGCACCACGTCCAGACGGCCGAAGCGCCGCCCAGGAGGGACACGGCTGCCCCCCAGGAGGAAGCTCCAGAGAGGCCAGGGCCTCGGGAAAGCCGCCCGCCCGCCCGCCGGCCTCCCACTGGGTCGAGGCGACGCTCCTGCCCGCCCTCGGCCGGCATGCGGGCCGGGCTCCGGAGCGCGGACGCCGGGGGGAGGACGGAGTGGACGCGGCCGCTCTCCCTCTGCCCACAACACGCAGGCGCCCCCTTCCGGAAGCAGTTTCTGTCACCTGTAGATGAGGAGCTCTGACCCCGGGGCGGGGCGGGTGCCGCGGGGCCCGGAGCCCACCCGGCCCAAGCCCGTACCCCGCTTCCCGCCCCGTCCTCGGGCGCCCCGGCTCCATGACCGCCGCCGTGTGTCCGGCGGGTCTGTTCTGATTTGTAGGTAGGAGACGGGGCAGCACCGAGCTCCCCCGTGAGGTGAACACGTCTCCATATTCTTTATTTAAACTTTTTAAAAAATGGAAATATATGTGAATTCAGTCCCTGGTTTAGGAAGATCTTCTGGAGAAGGAAATGGCAACCCTCTCCAATATTCTTGCCTGGAGAATCCCATGGACAGAGGAGCCGGGTGAGCAACCGTTCATGGGGTCCCAAAGAGTCAGATATGACTTAGCAACTAAACAACAACAACATGTATGTATATATGTGTATATAAACATATATACACATACATACATATGTATTTACCAAGTAATTAATCCTCTTGGCTACAAGGTTATCATAAGACAACTTGTTAAATGCTTCTTGAATCCAATAGACACACTCACACACGCCCCCACCTCCACGGTTGTTTCATATAAAATTCAGAATCCAATACCGGTAGTTGCTTTTGAAACGTAGAATTTAAATTACCCAGAGCATGGACAAATTTGGTAAGAGACTTGATCCCTCCTCATGGTGTTCTGTGTCACAGCACCCCACCCAGCTCTTTTCACAGCCAAAGCAGCATGCGGAGGTAATTATATAACTTCAACATCCTAGAATAGATTTTCCTATTAGAGTTATTTTACCTTATATACATGTTTCCTCAAGACTTCTGGCTCGGTTTATTACTTCTATTTCTTTTAGTCAATTATATGTTAGCCTTTAAAAAAATTAAAAAAAAAAAAAAAAAGGAAATATACAGTTAGCACCAGCTGTACTTTTGGCCGCGCAGGACCTGACATGGAAGCGCAGTGGTGAGTCACTGAGCGACAGGCTGAGTCTCCTTCGCTGCGGACAGAGGCTCCTCGGGGTTCTGAAGCCACAGGATGTTCACGGGAACAGAATCCAAACGGCACCGGGCCATGGCCACCCCTAGGCGAACCCGCCGGATGCCAGGTGGCCGGTGAGCTAGCCGAGTTTGGAGGCCGAAAGAAGCTGCCAGGCGCTGCGGTGACCTCTCCAAACTGAGCGGGCTTCATGAGGCGCAAGACGTGCTAAGCTTTAACCCTCTTGCAGAAGTGGGCTCCGAGGACTTGGGCTTGGACTCCACGGGCACCAAGCGCTGATGTCGGCCGTGGCTCCCAGGGAGGGTGAGGGCAGCTCCTGGTGGGGGTGGGGGGAAA